CGAGCTCGGGTGGGCTAGAAGGGTCCGGACCGCCCCACCCACAGCCCGGCAGCCAGTCCCGGGACCTCTGAAGCGGCGGGGTACCACGTCCTCCCGGGCTTGCACTTTGCAGCGGTCCTGGGCCTTGGGACAAGCCTGCTAGTCTGGGTAGGGGGCACGATGGCAGGGGTTTGCCTTTGCCATGGGGGTGAGCTGTACTCAAGCCCCATCAATTACCTGTGCCGTAGTTAGCATATTGAGTCTCACAGCTGGGTTCACTGGACTCCCCACTTCACAGCTGGATAAACTGAGGCTTGGGGAGGGGCGCTGGTGAGTTGCCCGAGGTCACCCCAAGTATAAGGGAAGGAGTAGCTCCTTTCCCGGTCCTTCTGGCCCACTGACCGTGCTGTTCGGGAAGGGAGGGGTGGGGCTGCTTTTGGTTTCTGGCTAATGCTTCAGGGAGCCTCTGACAGCCCAGTGGCCCTCCTGGGGGAGGATGAGCAGGGTGTGTGTGCGCACGGGTGCCAGTAGTCCTCTTTCAGGGGAGTGGAGACCCTTTGGAGGAGTGGGCTGGGCTGCTGGGGGGCGTGGCACGCCTAGCCCCTGCCCTGTGAGTGTGATAGCCAGACCGCCTTGCCTGGACTTCCTCGCCCTCCTCCTGGACATCCTGCCACCTCCCTGCTGGCCCTTCCTGTCGTCAGCAGCCTCCCCTTCCCTGTCAGGAGCAGAAGGGATGTGGGGGGAGGAGCTGAGTCAGTGTCCTGGGGCCAGGAGGAGAGTGGTTGCTGTGCCCAAGTGCCCACCACCTGCCTGCCTGGCCCTTAGCCGTGTGCTTTCACGTTACCAGATCTGAGCCTTGAAGGTTGGTAGTAACATCTTCATCAAACAGATGAGGAAACCAAGGTGTGGTGAGGTGAAGTGTCATGCCCCAGGTAGCTTAGTGAGTCCCAGGCTGAGCCAGAATTTGTGTCCAGGTCCGTTCCAGCTTTCTTTCACAGTTGCCTGTCCTGGGGGCAGCACGTTCTGAGCAAGGGTAAGGCTGTCAGAAGCAGTGTGTGGGGTGCTTGGAGGACGGACAGCACGTCCCTGCTGGTGGCAGGAGCCTTCCCGAGGGAGGTGTCCTCCTGTGATTATAAGGTTTCGTCAGGTGGAGATGGACTAGCGAGGAGACAGCAGTGTGGACAGAAGCGGGTGGTTGTATTTGAGAAGTAGCAAGAGCTTAGGATCGCCCTGGGCAGTCTCTGTCTCAGGTGGAAGACAGGGTGGGAGGAGGGCCTCACTGCTAGGGCTTGGTCAGGGGCAATAGGGAACCATGAAAGGTTTTAGAGCAGAGAGGAGGCTATGATCACCATTAATAGTGTTCAATGAGTTCATCCTGGCTGCCATGCAGACCTCAGCCTGCTCTCAGCTGGTGCTCCTCCTGTATCCGCCTCACACCCTCCTCCCCTGGCCCCGGTGCCCTGAGTCAGGGATTCATACAGGGCAAGTGGCACAGGTGTGTGACTGTGTGAGGCTCCAGGGCTTCAGGGAGTCGGGATCGTCTTCCACCCCTTTTGCCTTTGCCTGGGTGCAGCTTTACTCCTGGAGCAGCCTTCCCCCTCGCCTGCTGGGCATCAAATTAGATTTGGTCCCTTGTTTACTGTCTGTTTCCTGCAGTCCACCAGGGCAGGGGCCACAGCTCTTGGTCACAGCTAATTTCCTGGCCTAGAACAGTGCCTGATGCTTTAAAAAAACAAAAAAAAATTCTGCAGACACACCCTGAGCCCCATCTGTGCTGGGTCCTGGCAGGTAAACAGTGTGTGGCCCTGACTGAGTTGCATCTAGTCTAGCCTGTGAAGGATAAGTAAAGGGCCTCAAAATAGTCACGGATGCAACAGAGGCCTCCGAGAGGGGCTGTGGGAGGGCAGACTGGGGCCACTGGTGGTACGGTGAGTGGCATGGACTGTGAAGGGACCTCAGAGGTGGCCATTAAACTGAGTCTTAAGGTCTGAGTAGGGGCTTGCCTGGTCATCGGAGAAGGAGGAAGTCTAGTATTTCAGGCCAAGGACACGGCACGTGTGAGGGCCCGCAGTCCTGGTGTGTTGTGATCGGCAAGGACTATGCAGTGGTATAAACACAGGCCCCTCAGCAAGGGGAGGCTAGGCTGGAAGAGTGTGATGAGGCTTCCCTGCCGTCCTGAGGCAGCTGGACTTTGTTTTAAAGCCACTTGGAGACCAGGTGTGGTGGCTCATGTGTGCCTGTAATCCCAGCATTCTGGAAGGCCGAGGAGGGGGGATGGATCACTTGAGGTCAGGAGTTCAAGAGCAGCCTGGCCAGCATGGTGAAAACCCGTCTCTACTAAAAATACAGAAATTCGCTGGGCATGGTGGCGGGCGCTTGTAATCTCAGGTATTTGAGAGGCTGAGGCAGGAGAAATGCTTGAATCCGGGAGGTGGAGGTTTCAGTAAGCCGAGATGGTGCCATTGCACTCCAGTCTGGGCAGCAGAGACTCTGTCTCAAAATAAATAAATAAAGCCACCTGGAGCCGTCCCTGGAACTGTTAAGCAAGCCTGGGATACCAAGCCTTTTTGAGTGAGTCTCACTAGCCCGAGGGTGCATAGAGGGGCTGTGTCCCTGGCTAGGTAGGAGGTGGGGCCGTGAGAACCTGTCAGTGATTCCGAAAGGCAGAAGGAGATGCTGAGCTTCTAGCAGGTGAAGAAGAGGTAGCTGGGACTGAAGAGCCCTGTACGAAGGGGCATCGTGTGAGATTTAGATGATCGGACCTTTTGAACCTGGGGACAGGTTTCCCTGCCAGTTTAAAAACACATTGGTTGGCGGGGCACATTGGCTCACACCTGTAATCCCAGCATTTTTGGAGGCCGAGGTGGGCGGATCACTTGAGCCCAGGAGTTTGAGACCAACCTGGGAAACATAGGGAGACCCCATCTCTACAAAAAAACAAAACAAAACAAAAACAAATAAATACAATTAGCTGAGTGTGGTGGAGTGCCTATGTCGTCCCAGCTACTTGGAAGCTGAGGTGGAAGGATCGCTTGAGTCGGGGAGGTTGAGTCAGCAGTGAGCTGTGATCACACCGCCACACTCCAGTCTGGGCAGCAGAGCAGGGCCCTGTCTCAACAAAACTCAAATTGGTGACCTTCTATCCCCAAGGTCACTGTGTCATGGCGTGCCTGACATGGTATGTGGTGTGTCTGTACTGGGCTCTGGAGGATCACCAGGCTTCTCCTTGTACAGACACGTTCAGTCCTGTCGGAAGCTGCGGGAGGGGAGGACTGCCTCATCATTTGCCACATCAGGCAGCCAGGACTCAGAGAGGGGGATGTGACTTAGGAAGGTCACAGCGACTCCACTTCCCAGGCAGCCCTAGAGGTTTCAGCCTGACAGCCTGTCATTCCTGCCCTGATCTCCCAGCCCTAGCCCAGGGACTTTCGCCTGGGGCTGCCCAGTGGTGCCAGCTCTGTGGGCCCAGGAAGCCTAGCTCCTCCGGGCTAGGTGGGGGTTGGGGAGATGGGCTAAAAAGCACAGAAATTTAGACCAGGGGGTAGATATTTCCTCAGCAAGTTTTTCCTGAGCCTTGCTGTGGTCAAGCCCCCTGCAAGGCACTGGGGCCACAGGAGGTCTGAGACTGAGGGGAAGTGGAGCCAGGTGTGGTCACCAATCTTCGTTCTTAGCTTAGGATCGCCCTGGGCAGCCTCTGTCTCAGGTGGAAGATGGGGTGGGCAGAATACAGAGCAGCGGGACAAATGCAGCCCCAGGTGTTCTCGGCTCTGAGCAGAGCCTCTGTCTCTCCCTTACGCAGGTATGCAGGGCGGAGCTGGGATGCCAACCTACTGGGTCCGCCGACTGTAGCTGTGGGGGGTTCTGGATCCTCAGCTGCCCCAAGCCCCCCTTGGTCCACTTCCTGTACCTGAGAAGGGGCTCCATGGGAGGAGGGTGGGTCAGGAGAGGTGGCCAGGCAAGATGGCTCTGGTTTCCAGCTGCCACTGTCACCGCCCACCCCACTGAGCCATGCCACCCTCTCTCTGCACGCAACCAGACACCTTGGCCTGGTGAGGCCTCGATGTAGGGGCTGATAGGTAGGCTCAGAGCCATGGCAACAGGTGGCCACCTCCTCCCTGCCGGTGTCAGGAGCGGAGACTGCAGAGGGACCGGGACTTAGGTGAGAGAGGTCTCCCCAGCAGGAAGGCAGGGTCTGGTGGTTGGCATCCACTAGATGAGCATGGTCAGAAAAATGCCGGGATGAGCAACTTCTTTATCTAGGCCTGGGTTGGGGTGCCTGCCACAGGTCCCCATGGGACATGCTGCAGCTGGCAGCCCCCAGACCCCGGGGCTGTGCCCCTCTGGGCAACACCCGGAAGGTAGGCTTGCCAGGACTGACCTTTCCCAAAGAGATCTAGGTGGGGACCAGAGGGTTTCTAACCCCAGCCTGCGACTGGCTTCACCTCCCATAGTCTCCTGGAGCCAAGGAAAGGGCAGGACTGGCGGGCCCATGGAAGGGTCTGTGGGGCATCTGGTCCTCGTCAGAGGGAGGAACTGGACAGTTCGCACAGTGCTGCTGGTCTGGACTGCCCTCTGAGCTCTCAGGGGGTCTCTATACAGGCAGAGTCCTCCCAGCCCCTCTCTCCCACTCTTGGGTGAAGGGTCGGCTGGAGAGAGGCCCCTGGGACATCTGGGTGTGTGTGCCAGCCACCCAGCCCAACTTCTCGGCTCTCCGAGTGCCACTATCAGGAAAGGGGCCAGGGCTGCCTCAGTGGCTGGGAGGCCTGCTTGGACTTGGGGGTTACCTAGGCCCTTAGCCCTCTTGGCTGGCTTCCCAGGAGCTTGGTCCCACAGGACTTGGGGATAGGGTGGGTGCAGCACACCCCCCTCAGCAGTCCCTGTTGGCTTCCTGCTGGGCCCAACTCACCTCCCTCCTCATCTCCCCACAGCCCGATCTGCTCAACTTCAAGAAGGGATGGATGTCGATCTTGGATGAGCCTGGAGAGGTAGGAGGACCGAGGCGGGAGGGGAGGAGACTGGCTTGTGCCGCTGCTGGTACCCTGAGCAGCCCAGGAGTGGGGGTGGGGCTGGGAGGGGCAGAGGCTGCCCATCAGGCTTCTGCCTCCTGGAGCAGTCTGCAGTGTGTAAAAGGGATCACAGCAAGGGGCCGTCTAGCCCCTCACACCCAGTGTCCCATCCCTTGATTTCATCAAGGGTCTCTTGGCCCTCCCACCTCAGTAGGAGCCTGGCTGGGAGTCGAGGGTCTTGAGTGGAAGGTCTCATAGAAGCCGTCTGGCCCGAGACACAGATTCACAAAGCCTGGCCTGAGGAGGTGGGGCTCGGCGCAAGTGCTGGGGTTTCACCCACCTGGAACCACACTGGTTGAGTCAAAGCCTCCTCTAGGCCTCAGTGGCCACATCTGTGACATGGGCATAATGAATAATGGCGATTCTTTCCTGAATGGATAACAAGGTCACAGAGATCAAGCACGTACAGGTGCCACACAGCTCCTGGCACTTACTGTGGGCTCAGCTAAAGACCCTTCCCTTCCTCTGGCATATGTGTCCTTGGAACCAGCAGGGACAGTGGCCGTTTCCCCAGCTCTGTTCTTTTGGCTGCCAGGCTGGCTCCCTGCCCACATTGCCTGGGCGGGAGCGTCTCCCCACCCCTGCTCTGCATGCGCCTGCCGCTCCGGTCTGCGTGCAGCCTGCATACCGGAGAGGGCTCCGAGCCAGAGGGGATTTCATTGTGTTTCCGGCCCACATGTTTTATTCCCTCCAGCCCACAGCCTTCCCTACCCGCTGCCTGCCCGCCGTCCCTGGCGGCTGCTCTCTAGGCTCACACAAAGCCCGGCACCCTGCCAGTGACCCCTTCCTGGCCTCCCCACCCAGGGTCCCCGGAGGGCAGAGGGATTACAGGCCCCACCCAGAGCTGGCCATTACTCATCCTCTATCACAGGGTTCTGGAATGTCCGAACTGGAAGGGCCCTGGGAGTTCAGCCAGCCCAACCCCTTGGTGCACAGACAGGAGACGGGCCCACGAGGGTGTTGGTCTCTTCCAGGCCTAGGAGCACCTGGGACAGACCCAGGCTCAGAACTCAGCGCACCTGAGGTCCATGGAGCTCCACCCAGCTTCCATCTCAGACAGTCATAGGCTAGGCCTGGAAGAGCTAAAGAAACCACTTGGCATAGAACCCCTGTCCTACTTTACAGAGAGGCAATTGAGGTCTGCAGCAGCAACTCCGTTTACTTAGTGAGAGCAAAATGCTTCTAAGAGGCCTGGCCTCCCAGAACAAACCCAACAACCTGATGTCCATCCCTATGCCAACGGCATGACAGCCATACACACAAGAGAGGGTTAGGCACTGCTCACCTCACCAGAAGGTGTAGGGACTTCTTTTTTTTTTATTTTTATTTTTTTGAGGCAGAGTTTCACTCTTGTTGCCCAGGCTGGAGTGCAATGGTGCAATCTCGTCTCACTGCGACCTCCACCTCCCAGGTTCAAGCGATTATCCTGCCTCAGCCTCCCGAGTAGCTGGGATTACAGGCGTGTGCCACCACACCCATCTAATTTTTTTTGTATTTTTAGTAGAGACAGGGTTTCTCCATGTTGGTCAGGCTGGTCTCAAATTCCCGACCTCAGATGATCCACCCTCCTCAGCCTCCCAAAGTGTTGGGATTGTAGGCGCGAGCCACCACGCCCGGCTGTGGGGACTTCTTAGTAGCCCTACTTTACAGTTCAGAAGACTGAAGCTCAGAAAAGTGGAGACGCTTGCCTAAAGGCACACAGCGAAAAAGGGAACTCTTGGGTACAAAACTCTTTTTCTCAGGGAGGCAATGTAGAAAGAAGCAGAAGGTATCATCCTTGCATGCCCCTTGAAAACTTACCATCTTCTTGAGGAGAGAAACTAAGTACTTGAAACAACCAACAGCACAGACAGGGCTTGGTGATGTGAGGGAACTCCGGGAGGGCTGGGGACCGGGTGACATGCACTGACCTGGCAGTGGGCGGGCCGCAACTGGCATTCCAGTGGAGTGACCAGAAGCCTAGAGGTGGGCTGAGCTTGGCATAATATCGGGCTGTTCTGGCGCCCCCATCCCTTTCCTACGTGTCCTGCCAATCTAACCCCAGCTGGAGCAGAGACAGGACTGCAGGAAGGCACCCAATCACAAATCCTAAACATACAGGTTAGTGCACTCTCACCCGCTGCGGATGTGGGTAGCCAGCCTACAGATCAAGAAGCAGACCATGCGGCCGGGCGCGGTGGCTCACGCCTGTAATCCCAGCACTTTGGGAGGCCAAGGCAGGTGCATCACCTGAGGCCAGGAGTTCGAGACCAGCCTGGCTGACATGGTGAAACCCCATCTCTACTAAAAATACAAAAAGCCGGGCATGACGGCAGGCGCCTGTAATCCTAGCTACTCGGGAGGCTGAGAATCACTTGAACCCAGGAGGTGGAGGTTGTAGTGAGTGGAGTTTGCACCATTGCACTCCAGCCTGGGCAACAAGAGCAAAACTCCTCCGTCTCAAAAAAAAAAAAAAAGCAGATCGTGCCTGGCACTCACTCCTACCCTGGGGCTCCGTCCAGTCCTACTTCCCGGGGGACCTTTGTCCCTGACCGTGGTGGTGATCTGGGGGAATATGGAAAAAGACGCGACATCCTGGCCCCACTGAGTCCCTGACTTGCTTACACAGATCATCACCCCTCCCTGTCTGCACTGGGTCCAGGGTGCCTGAGGAGCCTTGGCGATCTTAAAAGGGGCTCCAGGAAGGACCAGGGGGGTGTGGTTACGGAGGGGAAGCCAACCCATTTCACAGATGCTACCCCTGAGGCTCAGAGAGGACATGGAGGGGCCAGGTCTCAAATCGGCATTTTCTGCCTCCCCACCCTTCCTGTGTGCAGAATAGTGAGTTTGGCAGCCACGCAGGACACCTGTACAGTCGCACACACTGGCTCTTTCATTCCATCCTCCTTACAGCCTCCCTCCCCTTCGCTCACCACCACCTCTACTTCACAGTGGAAGAAACATTGGTTTGTGCTGACAGATTCAAGTCTCAAATATTACAGAGACTCCACCGCTGAGGAGGTGAGGCCATGGGTGTACTGATGAACCCCGAGAAGGGCCTGGGGTGGCCTGGCTGGGGTCACTGGGGTGGGTCACACCAGGGCCCACACGGACCATAGTGGGCCCTCATGCTCCAGGCAGACGAGCTGGATGGTGAGATCGACCTGCGTTCTTGCACGGATGTCACCGAGTACGCGGTGCAGCGCAACTATGGCTTCCAGATCCACGTGAGGCTGCGTGCAGCTTGGGGCTGGTGGTGGGCAGCGTGGCTGGAGGCCCCTGAGGGAGGTTTTGGTATTGAACATGGCTCACCATGGAGACTGGATCCCTGTCACTCATTTACCCAGAGGCTCTGTCCTCAGAGCCAGACAGAGCTGTGATGCTAACACTTAACGTATCTAGGGGAGACGCTGGAGCCGGCAGGGCTCTTCCCAGGCCAATGGAAGGGAGGTTTTGTACCCCCTGCCCACCCCAGACTCAAGACCTTAGATGCCCCTTTGGAAGGAAGGGCCGCCCTCCCCGGGGTCCATAGTGGGGAGGGAGTCATGCGGCTGGCCACGTGGCAACCTACCTGTGCGGTGGCCTTACAGACCAAGGATGCTGTCTATACCTTGTCGGCCATGACCTCAGGCATCCGGCGGAACTGGATCGAGGCTCTGAGAAAGACCGTGCGTCCAACTTCAGCTCCAGATGTCACCAAGTACGTACTAAGCTGGACTGGGGCCTTGGGGGAGGCACTTTCCGTTGCGTCCCTGAGTGGGTTTCTAGGCACTCACCTGAGGACTGCACATTCTGGGCCCTCGTTTCTCTGTCAACAACATGGGAAGAGAGCAGTGAGCATTCTCAGTATCATCCGAGCCCACGCCTCCTGGGATGAGGAGCTCACTCCCTCTGGAGGCTGCCACAGGCACTGGGGCAGGAGGGCTGAGTTACCCAGTGGCAGAGTCCCCCACTGTATACACCCCAGATGCCCATGGGGTGCTGGGACTTGGAGCTGCTGGGCAGTAGGAACAGAGTATGGTATTAAAGGGGGCTGGGCTGGGTGTGGTGGCTCACACCTGTAATCCCAGCGCTTTGAGAGGCTGAGACGGGAGGATCACTTGAACTCAGGAGTTCAAGACCAGCCTGGGCAATATAGTGAGACCTCGTCGCTACAAAAAATTTAAAAATTAGCCAGCCGTGGTAGGAGGATCATCTGAACCTGGAGGCCGAGTCCCCCAGCCTGGCCACACGGTGGCTATTCAGCCTTAGGCCAGAGGCTTTCCCGTCTAGATTTCAGAGTCCCCATCTGTCATGTTAGTGTGTCATGTCTGCACATGTGCGAGGATGTGCCCAGAGCACTTTGTGTACTCTGAAGTGCAGTGAGTTGAACTGTTACTTAGCGTATAGGCCCAGCTGCTTTAAGAAAGAAACCCCGGGCACAGTCGCTTAATTGAGACAGATGTTTATGTGTCCCTTCAGAACAGCCCTGAGGTATGCAGTCCTGGCCTGGTGGGGCTCGCTCTGCCCTTTCAGGGGAGCCACGTGCCGCACCCACTTGGCAGCCTATAGTCACGTGGCTACAGGTAGCTCTGGGAACACTGCAAGTGTAGTTTTTGGCAGGGTGACCACGTACCCGGCTATGACTGTGGATAAAGAGAACTGCCATAGTTGTTCAGAGTCGCCACAACTTGTGTTCTCTGCACCCCGAGGTCCCTGCCTTCACCCCATCAGCAGTGACTGTGGGCATCCCCCTTGCCACTGTGAGCCTTGGGAACCCGGGACATCGTGTCCTACACCAACTCCTTGATCACCATTTGCAAAAAGCCCTCTGCCTGCTTTTCACATTCGCCCACCCCGTCCTCACATCCATCCTGTGAGAGGCGCTGCTGTCCCACATTACAGATGAGGTCACTGCAGCTCAAAGAGGGCAAAGAGACCAGCGTGGTGGCTCACGTGAGCCTGTAATCCCAGAGCTTTGGGAGGCTGAGGTGGGAGGATCACGTGAGCCCAGGAGTTCGAGATCAACCTGGGCAGTATACTGAGACCCCATCTCTATCAAAAATTTAAAAAATTAGCTGGGCATGGTGGTGCCTTTCTATAGTCCCAGCTACTTCAGAGGCCAGGGCAGGAGGATCACTTGAGCTAAGGAGTTTAAGGCTGCAGTGAACTATGATCACACCACTCTACTTCAGCCTGGGCAGCAGCGTGAGACCCTGTTCCTTGAGAAACAGAAACAAGAGGGGTCGAGGGAAGCCAGGCATCCTGGTGGGCCCCTGGGCTGTGGAGTGGTGGAGCTGGGAAGTTCCCGGGCTCTGTTAACCAGGAAGCTTAGGTCAGGCTGCTTCCTTCCCTGGGGTCTGTCTCCAGCCCCTGGCACAGGGCCAGACACACAGGTGTCGCTCCGAAAGTGCTCATTGCAGGACTCAGGAGTGAGGACCCACCTGACGTGGCTCTGCTGGTGCCCTAGGCTCTCGGACTGTAATAAGGAGAACACGCTGCACAACTACGGCACCCAGAAGGGCCCCCTGAAGGCAGGGGAGCAGCGGGCGGGCATTGAGGTCGTCAGCCGGGGTGGCCCTCGGAAGGCAGATGGGCAGCGGCAGGCCTTGGACTACGTGGAGCTCTCCCCGCTGACCCAGGCCCCCCCGCAGCGGGCCCGCACCCCGGCCCGCACTCCTGACCGCCTGGCCAAGCAGGAGGAGCTGGAGCGGGACCTGGCCCAGCGCTCCGAGGAGCGACGCAAGTGGTTTGAGGCCACAGACAGCAGGACCCCAGAGGTGCCCGCTGGTGAGGGGCTGCGCCGGGGCCTGGGTGCCCCCCTGACTGAGGACCAGCAAAACCGGCTCAGTGAGGAGATCGAGAAGAAGTGGCAGGAGCTGGAGAAGCTGCCTCTGCGGGAGAATAAGCGGGTGCCCCTCACTGCCCTGCTCAACCAAAGCCGCGGAGAGCGCCGAGGGCCCCCAAGTGACAGCCACGAGGCACTGGAGAAGGAGGTAGGCACCACGCTGGTTCTCTAGGAGGGCCCTCGCCCCCACATCCCTCCAGTCCCTGCGTTCACACCCTGGTATTTGCCCCTTGCACTCCTACAGTGATGGGGAGCTCACCCCTAATCTGTGAGTGTGTACCCCACACTCCTGCGAACTAGAATCTTCTTCCTTAGACCTTAGTAGTTTGGTTTTTTTTTTTTTTTCCCTGTTCTGCCCTTAGCTGCCATAGAGAAGGGAAGTGGGAAGAGAAGGGAGAGACCTGCCAGGCACTGTGGCTCACACCTGTAATCCTAACACTTTGGGAGGCCAAGGTGGGAGGGTCACTTGAAGCCAAGAGTTTGAGACCAGTCTGTGCAATATGGCGAATCCTCATGTCTACAAAAAAATACAAAATTTAGCTGGGCGTGCTGGTGCATACCTGTAGTCCCAGCTACTTGGGAGGCTGAGGTGGGAGGATGGCTGGAGCCCGGGAGGCAGAGGGTACACTGAACCGAGATCAAGCCACGGCACTCCAGCATGGGCAATAGAGCCAGACTTTGTCTCCAAAAAAAAAAAAAAGAAGGGAGAGACTGTTTATTGTGTGTCTGCTGCACATGACCTCCCTGCCTGCACTGACTCATGGAATCCTCATAGTGGCCTCTACCGCTAGGGTAGACCTCAGCAGTTTTACTGACGGGAAAACTGAGGCTCCAAGATATTTCCTCTGTCACCTACATGATGTGTAAACATCTGTGACCATAGTTTCCTGTTCCTCACCCTGTCTAGCCTTCTCTGGGCCAAGGCTCTCCCAGGTCATTGACCTGGCCATCCAGGAAACAGCCCAGCATGTCCCCTGGCCACATCTCACTCCAGGGCTGCTTGCTCTTCTCAAACCCTGAGCCATTCCTACGCCTTCCAGGGATGCTGGGCTTGTATCCGTGTGGAGCTGGAAGCCTGTGGCTCCTCACTGCCTTCCACCAGCCCTGCCCCAGCTTCCAGGCCCCACTGACCACCCTTCTCCCTTATAGGTTCAGGCTCTTCGGGCCCAGCTGGAGGCGTGGCGTCTCCAAGGGGAGGCTCCTCAGAGTGCGCCGAGATCCCAGGAGGACGGCCACATCCCCCCGGGCTACATCTCACAGGTAAGGCCAGGGGCTGTTTTTCAGGGGGAGGGGGCAGATTTCCGGTTGCCGTGTTATCAGGAAACAGCTGAGATTTTGGGAGCCTTTCCTGTGTGTGCTGGAACCCAGGTGTGGGGCATTTGACATGTGTCATCTCATTTACTCTCCCCACAGCTGGTGGGCGTGATCACTGTGCCCATTTTACAGACAAGGCCACTGAGCTCTGAGAGGTTATGTGACTTGCCTGAGGTCACCCTGCCTGCAGGTGTCAAAGGTGGGATTTGAGCGAGGGTCCGGCTGACTGCAGAGCCTGTGTGTGAGTCCCCGTGTGACACTCTGCACTTGGACCCTTGCCCCGGGGAAGTTGGGGGCCAGTGGCCCCGAGAGTCACTGCCTGAACACAGGGAAATCTTACTGAGGCCCAGCAGGCCAGGCCCCACTCAAGGAGGTCTGCAGGACAGGAGAGCCTCCAGTGGCCCTCAGAGAACGCACTGTCTGCCTAGGACAGTGGTTCTCAATGGGGTCCATTTTGTCCCCCTTGGGGACATTAGGCTGTGTCTGGGAACACTTTTGGTTGTCACAACTAGGGCAAACTAACTGTCTAGAAAAAAACGTGTGTGTGTACACATGTATGAGTTTATTATACATTTTACCAATAAAAACAATGCTTAGTACACAATTTACAAATAAAAAATATATAATTTTATTGTGAATTTCATATAGCAAATGGATTTTTCTCAGAATGCTTTCAGTGATTTTTCCATACTCTTGTATCCACAACCAATTAACAAACGGCGGTTCTTTTAACATGTACACTGGTTGACACTTTCGTTTATGGTAACGAGTAAGATGAGAAGACATTTGTCGAAACGTTACTGCTCCATGTTGTGAGTGACTTCTTTGCTAAATCGGACAGTAGTTTTTTACTGAGAATATTTGAGAATTTTCTATTAAGAATATTTTTGCAATTTTGTGTTCTATTTACAATGTAATGGTTATAGATATGACACACTTTTAAGTTTAATCTGTATTATTAACATTTTCTTATCACTTGATTAAGTCTAGACAGTCAACAAAACAATAAATCAAGCCCTGATGTGTAATGTTTACCAATTCTGCAGTGTAAATACTCCCACTGTGGCCAATGCTGCATTTCCAGCACAAAGTCCCTGGACACAGAGTTGGGAAGAGATGTCACACTATCCAATAGGATTTCCACCATGCAGATACAGTAGATGTGATTGACCCCAAGAGCATGCATAATAAAACACAGTGAAATAATTAGGAAGTAATAAATTTGAGCATCTATTACCTTGTCTTTAATGTAGTTAATTTAATTATAAGTATATAAATTTAATTTTTAATGGCTGTGCTTAACAACTACATCACATAATTCCTAAAAATTTGACAATCAGCTGTCTGTAGTTATCGCACCTATCACACCATTATCTAAAGTAGAAAAGAAGGGGCCAGGCACAGTGGCTCATGCCTGTAATCCCAGCACTTTGGGGAGGCCGAAGTGGGCGGATCACGAGGTCAGGAGAACGAGACCAACCTGGCCAACATGGTGAAACCCTGTCTCTAATAAAATACAAAAAATTAGCCGGGTGTGGTGGTGCACACCTCTAGTCCCAGCTACTTGGGAAGCTGAGGCAGGGGAATCATTGGAACCCAGGAGGCCCAGGTTGCAGTGAGCCAAGATCGTGCCATGGCACTCCAGCCTGGCAACAGAAAAGAAGGCTGAGATCCAGGCCCTACGCAGGAGGAGCCTTCTAGAAGTTTCCAAGGGGAGGTCACGTCGTGAGGGGGCTCTCAGGAAGGCATTGGCTGGGGCATGAGAAGGAAGGCTGGTTGGTGTCTGTTGTGGAGGCCTTCAGTGCTGAGCTAAGAGTTAGAAACTCTGGCCTGGCACGGTGACTAACACCTGTATCTCAGCACTTTGGGAGGTGAGATAGGTGGTACACTCGAGGTCAAGTGTTCAAGACCAGCTTGGCCAGCATGGTGAAGCCCTGTCTCTACTAAAAAAAAAGTACAGGTTGGGCGCGGTGGCTCAAGCCTGTAATCCCAGCACTTTGGGAGGCTGAGATGGGCGGATCACGAGGTCAGGAGATCGAGACCATCCTGGCCAACCCAGTGAAACCTCGTCTCTACTAAAAAATACAAAAAACTGTGGGCATGCGAGGTGGCGGGTGCCTGTAGTCCCAGCTACTCGGGAGGCTGAGGCAGGAGAATGGCGTAAACCCGAAAGGCAGAGCTTGCAGTGAGCTGAGATCCGGCCACTGCACTCCAGTTTGGGCGACAAAGCAAGACTCCGTCTCAAAAAAAAAAAAAAAAAAGTACAAAAGTTATCAGGGCACAGTGGTGGGCACCTGTAATCCCCGCTCTCCAGTGGCAGATTCTCCTGCTGAGGCAGGAGAATCGCTTGAACCTGGGAGGCAGAGGTTGCAGTGAGCTGAGATCCTGCCACTGCACTCCAGCCTGGGCGACAGTGAGACTCTATCTAAAAACAACAACAAAAAGAACAAATCAAACAAAAAGAAGCTAATTCCACAGACTTTCAGAGGTTTGAGGTCAGACAGTGACATCAGGAAAGTGATGTCAGAGTGGAGGGGGCTTGGGAGAGGGCCAGGTGTAAGGTGTTAGGAAATGGCTGAAGGAGGGTGAATGTCAAGGGTATGGAGGAAGGAGAATTTAGGACTGGATGACCGGTGCTACAGAAGGCAGAGGGGCCTTTGGGGGCCCTGAGGCTGGGGCTGCTGCTACAGGGAAGCCTGGAGACCATCCTGGGGCCAAGTAGTGGATGGAGGTTCCACTGATAGAGGAGTAGGCAGGGGAGTTGGGGTGGGACACAGAGGGCGCGCCTGGGGGCTTACCTTGTCCCGCGGAGGGGCAGGGAGGAGCCAGTGTTGTGCCCTGTAGCCCCCCACCCTGAGGCAGACAGGGGAGTTGGGGGCCCAACACCACAGCTGAAGCAGGTGGGAGGACCTCTGAGGCCCCCAGCCAGGGGGCTTCTGCCTGCGCTCTGCTCTAAGAAGCTCCAGGGGCTGCTTTCTGGGTGGGAGGGGCTGGGACCTATTTGTACCCACCTATAGTCAGAGCGGCTTCATCTTCCTCCATTTTATTTTATTTATTTTAATTGTTTTAGAGATGAGGTCTCTCACTGGCACGCAGGCTACAGTGCAGTGGCACAGAGGCTCACTGCAGCCTTGAACTCTAGGGCTCAAGCAATCTTCCCACCTCAGCCCACAGGCTATACTACCATGCCTGGCTAATTTAAAAAATTTTTTTGTAGACACAAGGACTCACTATGTTGCCCGGGCTGGTCTTGAACTCCTGGGCTCAAGTGCTTCTCCCATTTTGGCCTCCCAAAGTGCTGGGGGTACAGATGTGACCACTGCACTGGCCCGTCTTTGTCCATTTTACTCATAGAGCCAGCTTCAGATTTCCTTTGGATAAAGGCTCTGCCACTACTATGAAGTTTAAAAGGCACTGCTTTGGCTTCTCAGCTTACAGATGGCAAAACTGACGCCCACAGAAGGGTGTGACCTTTGAGCTATAGGCAAACCTGTGTCTGGGGTCCAGACGTTCTGGTTCCCAGGTGCCCCATTGGGCGCATCAGTCTGTCAGTGTTTCGTCCCGTTAGGGTGGGGTGGGCAGGGGGAGCCGGTGGGAGGGGAGAAGGGAATAACTGGGAAACAGAACTGAAGACCAGGCAGGTGGAGGAGTGACCCCAGATGTGGAGGGCGGCAGAGAAGAGGTGCTGAGTCATCTGTGTCACCCTCAGGCATGGGAGGAGGCGGCTGGAAACTCGGTGGACCTGGAGGAGTGACAGCTGGGAGGGATTCCCCAGCTGGTATCTCAGGCTGAGTGGGTGCCCTGCCTTCAGGGGTTGGGGGCTTGCTGCTGCAGGACAGCTGTTGAGTGGTCTGGGGCTTCACCCACTGGATGTCTGGTAAAGAGAACCCTTCCCCACTATTGCAGTGGGGGACATGAGGCATTTCTTTATCTTCTTTGATGTCCATGTCAGAGGTGGCAGCCAGGATCAGGACACCTTGGGCCACTCAGGAAGGGAGGTGAGAGAGCAGCCCCTGGCCACCTAGGAGCCCCTCTTTGTCAGCCGAGTCCCACCTCCTGATGTCAGCCCCTGCACCCCTGAGCTGCCGGGTCTGCCTGCCTGGTCTGGCCCTTTGCAGAAGAGCAGTGCCCACCCCCACATTGCTGGGCTCCCCAGTGGTGGGTGCTGGCATACCGACTCCCTCTATGCACAGGGTTCCTGTGCCAGGGAGCCTCGGGGCCTGGTCCTGCGAGGCCTCCTTTACAGTCGCCAAGACTGAAACTCAGAGAGGGCAAGGGGTTTGTTCAGGTTTACTCCAAGGCGCAGCCAGGATGAAGACCCCCCTCTGAGGTTGAAAGCCGTGTTCTGTTGTTCTTAGCCAGGAGACATATAGAGGGCAGGAACAGAAGCCAGGGGACAGCCACCCCTGTCCCTACATAAAGCTCTTGGCCCTCGCTCTTCTATCAAATCATCCCCTGCAGCTGGGCGCGGTGGCTCAAGCCTGTAATCCCAGCACTTTGGGAGGCCGAGACGGGCAGATCACGAGGTCAGGAGATCGAGACCATCCTGGCTAACACGGTGAAACCCTGTCTCTACTAAAAAACACAAAAAACTAGCTGGGCGTGGTGGTGGGCGCCTGTAGTCCCAGCTACACGGGAGGCTGAGGCAGGAGAATGGCGTAAATCCGGGAGGCGGAGCTTGCAGTGAGCTGAGATCCAGCCACTGCACTCCAGCCTGGGCGACAGAGCGAGACTCGGCTCAAAAAAAAAATAAATAAATAAATAAATAAATAAATAAATAAATAATTATTCCCTGCAGCACAGGTGTGGCTGCCGGTGAGGCAGGGAGGTGGCCTGTGTGTGGGGGAGACACAGTCCCTCATCTGGCCCTCTGTGCCTCAGTTTTTTCCCTGGCTCTTCTTCCCCTTCCCTTTTTAATGACCTTAAACATTTTTTTAATTATCAAAAAAAGAGGTTTACATTTTCAAAAATAATTTAAACAAACTGAAAGGGTGGAAATCAATACCCCCACACTCCTTACGCTGCCAGCTACCACCCCGGGGTCCTGTTGGTGGCTGCTGCTGCCTGCCTATCAGTTTCTGGTGGCAGCTGTAACCTGTCACCACAGCTGCCTAAATAATGCACACGTATTACCTCACGCTTCTGTAGGCAAGAAATCTAATGCGGGTCTTGCTGTGCTGCAGCCGAGGCATGGGCAGCCGAGGCAGGCACCCGTTGTATCCTTTGCCTTCTGTGGCTTCTGGTGGCCACCCGCATCCCTTGGCTCTCAGCCCCTTCCTTCATCTTCAAAGCCTGCAGAGGGGACATCGAGTCCTTCTCCCGCCACATCACTCTGACCATCCCTTCCTGGTCACACCTCCCTTGAACTCTTCGCTTCTGCCCCCTTCGTCCACTTTTAAGGACCCTTGTGATTACACTGGGCTTGAGAGATAATCTGGGATAATCTCCCGATTTAAAGATCAGCTGATTAGCAACCTTAATTCCCTCTGCAGCCTGAATTCCTCTTTGCCACGTAACATGATGTAGTCACAGATCCTGGGAGTAGAATGTGGAAGACTTTGGGGGGCTATCATTCTACCCCCCACAATATCCTCCCTACCTTTTCTGTGTTTTCGCGTCCATTCACTGGGACGGACAGGTCTGCACCTTTGTTCCCGTGAGTGGGATCATACCATGTGTAGTGTCAGAAGTCAACTTTCACCACCTCATTTTGGGATCTTTTTCCACAGCATCCACACAAAAACTCTGTCTAGCGGCTGCCTGTGGCCCATTGTCAAGCTCGATCCCATCATTTATTCAAGAGTTCCCCTGATAGGGACTTAGATTGTTTCTAGTTTTCATCTGTTACCAACCTTGCCGTAGGGAATACCCTTGTTCCAAAAGTCTCTGTACACATACAACTTTCTGTGGGATCATTCCTAGGAGTGGACCTGCTAGGTCAACCAGTGGGGTCGCAGAATGTGATGATGCCATGGGACCACCCCTGCCCCCCTGCGACACCGTCATAGCAGACACTCCCAGCAGTGGGTATTATTAATCTTTGAGATACTTGCCCATCTTGTCTACTAAGCCTTATTTTGTATTACATCATCAGTTTCAGCTCATTTACTGAGCACCTGCCACATGTCAGGCCCTGGCCTAGACCCTAGGGACCCAGGCAGATGTTCTCAGTCTTCAGGGAACTTATAGTTTCAGGGAACTTATGGTTTGGCAGAAGTAGAACCTTCTGAGGCAGAGGAGAGGCTTCCCAGAGACAGAGCTAGGAGAGACATTTAAACTGGGCTGCAGGTCAGTAAATTACCCAGGGAGATAAAGTTGCCAAAAAACATTCCAGGCTGGGCGCAGTGGCTCACGCCTGTAATCCCAACACTTTGGGAGGCTAAGGTCGGCAGATCACAAGGTCAGGAGTCCAAGACCATCCTGGCTAACACAGTGAAACCCCATCTCTACTAAAAATATAAAAATTAGCCGCGCGTGGTGGTGGGCACCTGTAGTCCCAGCTACTTGGGAGGCTGAGGCAGGAGAATCGCTTGAACCTGGGAGGCGAAGGTTGCAGTGAGCTGAGATCACTCCACTGCACTCCTGCCCGGGTGACAGAGCAAGACTCTGTCTCAAAAAAAAAAAAAAAAAAAAAAAAAAAAAAAAAAATCCAGGCAGTGGGAATAGCATGAGCTAAAGCTCAGAGGTGTGAACGTGCTGCAACCATAACTATAAGATTGCTTGGCAGAGAAGGACCAGGGATGAGACCGTAAAGGTCAGCCATGGAAACAGAGACTTGACTCTAAGACAGGGAGTCCCTGGAGGGTTTAAGATGAGGTTTGTGAATGAGGAGCCGTGGGGTGGGGGTGGGAGCAGGAGCAGGTGCAGACTGGAGGTGCCGGGACCCAGGAAGAGGTGGTGTACCTGCCCCTGAACCTTCTCCTCTGAAGGCTGGGGAAGGGCTGCTGTCCAGAGGAATGGGGCAGCCGGTGATACCCTGGCCTCCGGCCCACAGGAGGCATGTGAGCGCAGCCTGGCAGAGATGGAGTCCTCACACCAGCAGGTGATGGAGGAGCTGCAGCGGCACCATGAGCGGGAGCTGCAGCGGCTGCAGCAGGAGAAGGAGTGGCTCCTGGCCGAGGAGACGGCAGCCACGGCCTCAGGTATGGACCCTGGGTGGGGCACAGTGGGCTGGGCCCTGAGCCTCTGTGCTGAGGCTCCTCCTAGCCAAACTGGGGAGGACTTTATCAAATAAGATGTAGGGATCTCAGTGCCACATTTGGGGTAAAGGGTCAGCAGGGGTTGGAAGCCCCAAGAACTGGCCTGTAGTCCTACTTGAAAAGGGAAACTGAGGCAGTAAAAGACACCCTCCCCACCCCCAACACCACCACTACCATGGGTGGTGACTCCTCCTGCTCAGGGGCCTGCAGCCACCATAGAGTGCCTAAAGCCACACGCTACCTACATGCAGCAGGAAGAGGCTGATCAGCTGCATCCCCTATCCTCACAGGAGTGCCTGCTCCCTGGGCACATGGGCTAGACCCTGGGAAGAGAAGGGGAAAGTGTGAGCGCTGTCCATGCCAGCTGTGTACCAGGCACTGGGCCCCCACATGTTTCCCAAGGGAGCATCCTTCATCCTGGACAATTCCCTCCCCTCCTGCCACCACACACCTGCTGTGTGCCTGGCACATTCCTAGGCATCACTAGGGGTTTGTGATGCTGGCAATCACAATAGAAATGCTGGCAATGTCACATGATCTGAAGCTCACAACCTGCCAGTGCTGTGCCAAGTGCTCATGCACTTGAACCCAGCCCTGGGGCCAGTGTGCTCTGCATTTTAGGAAGACCGTCTTTGCAGCCACATGTGTTAGAGACCCCTTTCTCCTCAGTAGTCTGGACTTCGCCCTGTAATCTGGCACTAAGGTTTCTGCTGTGAAATAGATAAAAATCACACTTAAGTGTAGTATTAAAGACCATAAATAGCCTCATGTCCATTCAGGGTGGGGATTGTCACCAAAAGAGTTACCAGAGGCCGGGTGCAGTGGTTCATGCCTGTAATCGCAGCACTTTGGGAGGCCAAGGCAGGCGGATCACCTGACGTCAGGAGTTCGAGACTAGCCTGGCCAACATGGTGAAACCCCACCTCTAATAAAAATACAAAAATTAGCCGGGCATGATGGTGGGCTGCTGCAATCCCAGCTACTCAGGAGGCTAAGGCAGGAGAATTTGTTAAACCCAGGAGACAGAGGCTGCAGTGAGCTGAGATTGCACCACTGTACTCCAGCCTGGGTGGCAGAGTGAGACTCCATTAAAAAAAAAAAAAAAAAAAAAAAAGAGAAACTTTCAATGTTCAGAGGTTTAGGATTTTAGAATTGTGGGTAAAACTATGGGTGGCACTTATTTAATCCTCACAACAGCCCTGGGTGAGAAAAAAAAAGCCTTGGTCTCAGTCCTTAGGAGCTCACAGTCTGAGAATAAAGCCAGCAGGAGCTAATGTTGGGGCATTTACTCTGAGCCATGCTTTGTTCTAAATGCTTCACACACCTTCCAGTAACCCCATGGAGGAAAGGCACTGTTGTTATCTATCCCTATTTTCCAGCTAAGGGGCCGGAGGCAAGAGGGGTTAAGTCACCTGTGCAAAGTCACATCGATTTATGCTGACTGTGGAGCCTGAGCTCTTGACCACTAGGCTGGGCAAAGCAGATAGGCCTTGTTTGAGAGCCCTCAGAGTCTGCAGGGAGGGTGTACTAGGTGGGGTCCTACCCGGAAATCACTAGAACAGGAGGTACCAATGGTCAGACACTGAGCTGTCTCCCCAGCAGGGCCCATCCAACAGGATTATCTTTCTTTAATAGATGGGCTCAGAGAGGTTGAGCAGCTTACCCCAAGCCACTCATTTTATGACACAGCCTGGGCTGCTCTGGACTCCTGGTTCGGTGCTCTTTGCGTAGCACTCCTTGGTCCTGTCTCCACCAGTACATGTGGTGTCTCAGAGCTGGTGGCACTTGGTGCTGCTGACCCCCCTCTAGTCTCTCTTGTGCCTCTCTGCCCTGCTTCCAGCCATTGAAGCCATGAAGAAGGCCTACCAGGAAGAGCTGAGCCGAGAGCTGAGCAAAACACGGAGTCTCCAGCAGGGCCCAGATGGCCTCCGGAAGCAGCACCAGTAAGATGATGCCAGGGCCCAACTGCCCACCCTGATGGTTATGGGTTGAGGAACTTTGCTGAGGCCCCTTGGCAGAGGACACATCAGTTTGCCCCTAGCTGAGATTCCTGCTCCAGTCTCATGGATGCAAGAAACAGAAGTAGAATGTCCTCAGGCAGACCCCATGCCAGTCCTCACAGACAGTTCTTCAGGTGCCTTCTTGTCTTCGCTGGTCCCGGCCTCCACCCACCTCTTCACCCCTTAGTCTCCCCTAGAGCTCGGCTGCAGTGTCACTGTTGACCTGTGGGCCTCTCCCTGCCCCAGAGCACAGTTTTGGAATGTTGAGGCTTCAGGGACTTTAAAGATGGGCTCCTCCGGCCGGGCACGGTGGCTCACGCCTCAATCCCAGCACTTTGGGAGACTGAGGCAGGCGGATCACCTGACGTCAGGAGTTTGAGACTAGCCTGGCCAACATGGTGAAACCCCATCTCTACGAAAAATACAAAAGTTAGCTGAGTGTGGTGGCGGGTGCCTGTAATTCCAGCTACTTGGGAGGCTGAGGCAGGAGAATCACTTGAACCCAGGAGGTGGAGGTTGCAGTGAGCCAAGATTGTGCCACTGCACTCCAGCCTGGGCAACAAGAGTGAGAACAAGACCCCATTTAAAAAAGAAAGAAAAAGGAAAAAAGATGGGCTCCTCCAAGCCACCCTCACTTAGGGGAAATACCTGTAGCCCAGAGAGGCTATCACTGGTTCACAGCCCCACAGCAGGCTAAACGCAAACCTAAAGAGGGAACCCCAGAGTCCTGGCATGCTTTGAGTCTGCCCTGACTGGACTCTAGGCTTGGCAGGGGCAAGATAACCTATGCTCTCCTTTGCTTCTCCTCTGGGGCAGGTCAGATGTGGAGGCACTGAAGCGGGAGCTGCAGGTGCTATCGGAGCAGTACTCGCAGAAGTGCCTGGAGATAGGGGCGCTCACGCGGCAGGCCGAGGAGCGTGAGCACACACTGCGCCGCTGCCAGCAGGAGGGCCAGGAGCTGCTGCGCCACAACCAGGTGGGCCTGGCCCCAAGTTGAGGGGACACGGGCGGGTCCCAGCACCCCTCCCCTGACCACCGTGCCTCTCCCAGGAGCTGCATGGCCGCCTGTCAGAGGAGATAGACCAGCTGCGTGGCTTCATTGCCTCACAGGGCATGGGCAACGGCTGCGGGCGCAGCAATGAGCGGAGTTCCTGCGAGCTGGAGGTGAGTGCCCTCACTAGCACCAGGCAGCCCAGTGGTTCTCGGGGCAGGGCTATGGTGCACCCCCGCCACAGGCTGCATGTCACCTGTGGCAGGAAAGCCAAGTCTCTGAGTGGCTTGGCCAGCCTGACTAGGCCAGAACACCTACTACGCATCCAGTAGCCAGAATTCTTCCCTCCCACCTGCGTTGTGTCACCTACCTGCCGTGTACCATAGGAAATCACTCCACTTATCTGAGTCCCAGTAGCTCATCTGTAAAATGGCACCAGCACCCCAGCACCTTCCTTACTGGGAAATATTGGGGTAAGAAAATGTGTGTGTGTGTGTGTGTGTGCCAGGATCACTGTAGTCTTGTCTTTTCTTTCCTTTTCTTTCTTTTTTTTTTTTTGAGACAGAGTCCCGCTCTGTCACCCAGGCTGGAGTGCAGTGACACGATCTTGGCTCACTGCAACCTCTGCCTCCCCAGTTCAAGTGATTCTCCTGCCTCAGCCTCCCAAGTAGCTAGGATTACAGGCCTGCACCACCACACCTGGCTAATTTTTTATATTTTTGGTAGAGACAGGATTTCACTATGTTGGCCAGGCTGGTCTCGAACTCCAGACCTCAAGTGATCTGCTGGCCTTGGCCTCCCAAAGTGCTGGGATTACAATGTGAGCCACCATACCCAGCCTCAGTATTTCTTTCTTTTTTTTTTCAGATGGAGTTTTGCTGTTGTTGCCCAGGCTGGAGTGCAGTGGCGCCATCTCGGCTCACTGCGGCCTCTGCCTCCTGGGTTCAAGCCATTCTCCTGCCTCAGCTTCCCAAGTAGCTGGGATTACAGGCATGTGCCACCATGCCTGGCTAATTTTGTATTTTTAGTAGAGACAGGGTTTCTCCATGTTGATCAGGCTGGTCTCGAACTCCCAACCTCAGGTGTTCCGCCCACCTCGGCCTCCCAAAGTGTTGCGATTACAGGCATGAGCCACCGTGCCCAGCCGATATTTTATTTCTTTAACAAACACTTAGGTGAGGCTTACTGTGTACCTAGAGCTTCTGGAAGCCCTTTTTGTCTGTTAACTCATCTAATCTTCCTGACAGCTCCATACATTAGCTACTGTTACTGTCCCCATTTACAGATTAGGAAACTGAGACACAGGAAGGTCAAGTACCTTACCAAAGCTTGCATAGCTGGACTGGGATTTGAACCAGGCAGTCTGGCTCCATTCTGAGCTTTTAAGCCTCCCCAGACCTGGCTGAATTTGTTTCCTCCTTGGTCAGGTCAGCAGCACCTGGCCCTCAGGGTTGGGGAGGGGTTAATGAGGTGCCTTGTGGAGTGGCTCAGCCTGCTCAGGTTTATGTAGGGCTTTTCATCCATCTTACCCCCGAGGTGAGAGCCTGGTGCTGCATGAGGGTTGCAGCAGAGATGACCATGAGATATCCATTCACACAGGCTGGACAGGGGTGAGAGTAAGGGAAGGCAAAGCAGGGGAATCAGAGAGGGCTTCCTGGAGGAGTCTGCCTCCAGGGTTTAGAGGGTTTTGGTGCAGATAGGGGCTGCATTCTAGGGGCCTGAGGCAGAGAAAACCTGGGCTGCAGGGCACTGTGGGCCAGGGTAGCTCTGGCTTCTGGCCCTGGGTCAGCCCAGCACCTATGTCCCCAGGTGCTGCTTCGTGTAAAAGAGAATGAACTCCAGTACCTGAAGAAGGAAGTGCAGTGCCTCCGGGACGAACTCCAGATGATGCAGAAGGTAAGTCCCGCTGCTGGGCGTGGGGGCCGTGGGGGCCTGTGGAGCCACCTAGATGCCATCCCGTGAGCACCTGCTCTGTGCCAAGCCCTCCACTTGCTTCATCCTTCCTCAGGCTCTCCTGTGCTTCTCCCATGTAGGTGTCGTCATCCCCATTCACTGACAGGGAAACTAAGGCTAAGAAAGGGGAAGTGACTTCCCCAAGGCCGTACTTGCTTCTGTTTATTTAGCGTTATTTAATTTATTGATTATTATTGAGCACCTCCTATGTCCCGGGCACTGTGCTAGGTGCTGGGAAGACAGATGTGAACAAAATAGCCCCAAATCTCTGCTGTGGGGAGCTTGCACTCCAGTGAGAACAACCGCGTTGCTAGGAGTTGGGTGGGTCGGGGTTCAGCCCAAGTCTGAGTCTGCAGCCCGCCTGGCCCACCGTTGGCTGCTATGTCACTGCCTGGTGCATTCTGTCAGTTTGGGGCAGGAAGTGGACATGTTGGTGGCTCTGTAAGCGCACGTGAGCCAGACCATGTTTACCGCACTTGAAGAATAGGTGGCGTGAACTCACGGGAAGGGCCCGAGCACCCAGCCAGGCTGACCTGGTTCTCATCCCAGCCGCTCACTGCCCTGCGGTCTTGGGCAAAATCTCCTTCCCCCAAACAGGATGAGGAGGACAATGACACCTGTGTCCCTAGGTGGTACCAGGGAGGTGGGAGAGGGAAGCCCAGGACCCAGGGCCATCTCGGGGAGCCACCTGGAGGGATGAAGCGAGGGGCCGCGGGGAGGTCTGGCTGCTGGTACTGCCCATGTGCCAGGTGGGCAGGGCTGGAGGGAGAGGCTTCATGCCCTCATACCTGCCTCCTGCCCCCCAGGACAAGCGCTTCACCTCGGGAAAGTACCAGGATGTCTACGTGGAGCTGAGCCACATCAAGACGCGGTCCGAGCGGGAGATCGAGCAGCTGAAGGAGCACCTGCGCCTTGCCATGGCCGCCCTCCAGGAGAAGGAGTCAATGCGCAACAGCCTGGCTGAGTAGAGGTGGGTGCCAAGGTGTGCGCCCTGCACGGTGGGCAGGGGCTGAGGCTCTCCCACAACCAGGACTCCTGGACCACCCCAGCCAGGCCACTTTCTTCTTCTGGCCTCCAATTCCCGTTTTGTAAAAGGGACGATGAACCCAGCAACACGGGATTGTTGCAGAGATCCCATCAGACCCGGGCCACAGGCTGCTTCATCAGCTTAAGCCTGTTCCTTCAGAGCTGGGCGGCACAGTGCAGAGCCATGGCCTGCTCAGTGCACCCCCCTTCTTGGGGCTGGAGGCAAATGCAGTGTTCACATCCCTGACCCCCACAGGGAGTCTCCGCTGAGCTTCACACACAGACATCGCACACCAAGGTCAGGCCTCTGTCCCATTTAGTCTTACACTCGTTCTTGACTTAGCAGGGCTCAAAGTGGTTGGTTGATCGGTTGTTTTGAGACAAGGTCTTACTCTTACCTGGGCTGGAGTGCAGTGATGCAATCATGGCTCACTGCAGCCTCAACCTCCTAGGCTCAAGGGATCCTCCCACCTCAGCCTTCTGAGTAGCTGGGACCACAGGCCCACACCACCATGCCCAGATAATTTTTGTACTTTTTGCATAGGCGAGGTTTCGCCATTATTTCCCAGGCTGGTCTCGAACTCCTGGGCTCAAGCAGTCTACCTGCCTCAGCCTCCCAAAATTCTGAGATTACAGGCATGAGCCGCTGCACCTGGCCAAAGTGTTCTTATTTTTGCTTTTCCAATGCCACATCTACCTGGAGCATCCTCTTTCTGCTAAATCCTCATGGACTTCCTAAGGCACGCAGGAGAGGCCACCCTATGGCCGAGCTACTCGTGAAGGAGCTAGGAAGAGCGGATCTGACTACCTTCAGGGCTGAGAGGTGGTGGAAGGACCCACTCAGCACCCTTGCTTGGCCTTGGGATAGCCTCGCAGCCCCTCAGCCCAGGCCTCAGCCCTGTCGCACCTTGTCTTTCAGGTCCCGCTCAGCTGCAGACCCTCCAGGCTGGAGGACCAGCCGCCCTCTTTCCCTTCTGGATGGAAGTCAAAAGCCAAGCTTTCTCCCCACCCTCTGTGGGCCACATGTGCACTTGCACTCACCACACACCCACACACAGACACAGACACACACACACACGTGCACACATGTACACACGGACACACACACACACACTCTGCGTATCTGAGCGCGCCCCTCGCACTGGGTCTTACCTTGCACCTTCTTCAGGATTTTATATGTGAAGAGATTTTTATATAGATTTTTTTCCTTTTTTTCCAAAACACTTTATACTTTAAAAAAAAAAGAAAAAACAATTCCTGGTGGTCGTGTGCCTCCAGCCCTGGTCCCTGCTCTGTCTCCAGCCACCCTCTGCTTGGGCTTCTGGGCTGGTGGCCCTGGTCCGGGGGTCTGGCAGAGGCCCAGGCAGCAGCCATGGCAGGGTATCTCTGCAGGGGAGAGGCGGGAGCCTGCCACCTTCCTCCTACCCTACCTCCTACTAACACTTCCTGCCCCATTTGGACCCGTACCATGGGGCTCAGGACAGAGGGAGCCAGCAGCTGGCTTCCATGACCCCACAGCCTCCTCTGAGGCTGTGCTGGGTGCGGAACCGCCAGAGCCACCCAAAAGGTGATTCTCTCCTGCCCCCTGAACCTCTTAACTTAATAAAATGTTCCAGCAAGTTCTGGTGTCCTAGATGGCTGACAGAACAGAAATGGAGATTGGGGTTTCTTGAAGTGGCTTCCCTACTCACACCCTACCCACACCCCACCCTTCCTAAAGCAGTGGCCTCTGGGCTTCTGAGGGTGGGGCTGAAAATCCAAGGTTCCCCTTAGTAAGGACTGCGATGCCCCCAGTGTGGCTTACAGGCCAGTGGCAGCGGAAGCAAGTGAGAAATAGCAAGTACAGCCCCACCCCGACCTACTGAACCAGTGTCTGCATTTTAACAGGTGCCCCAGTGATTCACGTGACCTTCAAAGTCTGGGGAGCCCTGGAGTAGGGCCCAGGGCCCAGGCCTGAGAGAGAGATGTGGAGCTAAGACTGGCCCTGACCATGACCTTGGGCAAGTCACACCCCTCACTAAGCCTCAGTTTGCTTCTCCATCAAATGGGTGTTTTTCTTTCAGTCCCAGTCCTCTCCTGAGGCTTTTCCCAGAGGTCATGCCCAACCCTGGGCAGGGGTGAGGGCAGGGTTGTGGCTGCCCCAGGCCCAGGTCCAGCAGGCTGGGAGTCCTCACCATGGCCAGCTGTGCTGATTGTGGTCTCATGGGGCTGGGAAGAGGTCGCATTTCTGAGCCACAGAAGCAAGCCACATCCGGTAGGGGTCCTGGAAGGCTGTGAACGCGGAAGAGACCCTGAGCCAGCCTGCAGGTGGAAGAGTACCTTTGGAGGCAGCTTTGAAAGATGACTCTTCGAGATGGAAGAATCAGGAAGGGCCTTCCACGCGGAGGCACCAGCAGGAGCAAACGTCCCTGGTGTGTTCAGGGAAAGACCCACAGGAGAGTGACCGCGGGCAGTGAGGGGAGATTGTTTCCCATTCCCTTGCCAGGGATTGCTTGAGGAATGGACATGGGATGCAGTTCCAGCCAGTGAAATGCGAGGGGAAGTCTTGGGAGCGGGGTGGAGGAGGTCATCTAGGAAGGGCGTCCTTGGTGTTAGAGGCACAAGATGGCCGGGCGCGGTGGCTCAAGCCTGTAATCCCAGCACTTTGGGAGGCCGAGGTGGGCGGATCACGAGGTCAGGAGATCGAGACCATCCTGG